ATAATCGTCTTGGCTTTGATAGATTGTTTTCTGGAAACGTTTATAATACTCTTTAGGCTAGAGTGAAATTAGCAGACTATGGACTATATTTTATGACTAAAGGTGGTGCTAATGTTGACTTCCCGATTGGGTGGGTATTATACAGTTTTGCTGCATTTGCAATGAAACATAATTTTAATTTTTTGTGAATTTGCAAAAGCTATCCTCATTATATTCCACCAGAAGCAATTTATCGCTCAGGTGACATGACTGAAACTACCGGAAAGGTATATATTTATTATGTTTATTTATTATTATTCTTTTAAAGAATGTTAAATTTTTGTTGTTCTTTTTTTAAGGTTGATGTATGGTCGTTAGGAGTGATATTGGCAGAACTTGCTACTGGTTCTCCGTTTTGGGAAGGTAATGATAAAGACATTAGTAGGATTTTTTCTTCATTATGGAAACTCCAATCCATTGCAGAAGAAGAAGAGGAAGAAGAACTTTGGGATCGGTTCGCTGTTTTCCAACTTGGAATAAGTGAGCAAATATTGGAATTTCTCCAGGGAAATGATGATGAGAATGTGGAATTTCGAAAGCTCGTCAGAGCGTGCCTGGAAGTAAATCCTTCTAATAGATGTTCACCAGAGCAGTTATTATCACATCCATATTTTTCATCAATCTATGAGAGTAAGAATGGTATTAATGATAACTATAAATATTGGTGGATCAAGCCTTTCTTACAATCACAAAGGTTAAAAGTGGGAGACGACTTTTTGGAGCATCTAGATGAGCCACACAATAAAGATGTTCTCGATGGAATGCCATTATCGCAGATTTATTATTTTTGGAAACTAGCAGGAGGTGATGTAGAATCGGAATTAGCTAAAAGAGGTTATATGTCAAGTACACCACCAATAGAAAGGATTCCTAGGACCGTAAAGGTATTGGATGGAAAGGAAGAAGGTACGACAAAAGACACAGCCTTCTTGTATTCTGATACTGTTTACAGTTTATCGCTTAAAGAACTTCGACAGAGATTAAAATCAGCTGCTGGACCCAACAAGGAAACAATCGAATGGGATTCAGACTATTTCCTTGTTATAGACGAAAATGACATGAATTTTCTTGCTGATGAAATGCCAGATGTTGAAAATTCAGGTCCTAAAGATGAATCACTTGAGGAATCACTTGAGGAATTACTTGGGAAATATCTCTACCCGGATCCCAACAATAATAAACCAACTTCATCGTCAGTAAATGGGCAAAACCCACCGCCATCAAATAGTGTTAAATCACCATTACTTGCACGGGAAAAAGACGTTGTATATCAGTTCCAAAGGGTAGCCCTTTTTAGTGAATTGCTTCGACAATATCCAGCATCCCGTGATGAGATAATTCATCAAGCAAAAGTAGATATACCACCTTTTTTGCGCGGAAAAATTTGGGCTGCTATATTGGGTGTTAATGGCGATTATCAAGCTATATATGATGCTTATGATAAAGAAACAGAGAAAGAGACTTCAACCGATCGGCAGGTTAACTTTATTTATTTATTTTTTATTTTTTATTTTTTTTTGTTTGTTTGCAGCAATGACTTTAGATATTAAATCTGCATTATATAATAATGCTTATACATTCCTTAGATTGATGTCGGTAATGTGTTTAAAATTCTTCGATATTTATTTGGATTCATAAAATCTAATAAGTTTAATCTGGATCGAAATAATTTTTTTCAGACGTTCCAAGATGTCACCAGTATCATCAACTACTTTCTTCTCCTGTTGGGCATGAAAAACTGAAAAGACTTTTGAAATGTTTCGTAGCTGCAAATAATCAAAATTTGGTTTATTGGCAAGGTATTCAAATTGACTTTATTATTTAATTGTGAACTCAATTAATATTTTTCATTTTTCATAGGACTTGATTCTCTGT